AAGTCCTAAGACAAACTAATAATACGAAGAGATGTAGAGAAAGACCGAAATTAACATGGGAGAGACAATAAAAAGAGATTTAAAAGCTTGTAATATACATAGAGATCTATGTTTGAATAGGAGTACTTGGAAAGCAGCTATTGAAGTGTCTGAACCATGACTTGGGGCACTTGGTGGGTTTCAACTCTAGGCTACCACAACTTGCTTGGGACTGAAATGCTATGTTGTTGTGTTGTTGTGTGTATTGTATTTCAGTATTTGTCATCAGCATACTAACTTTTTTTTGTATTATTGTAACAAATACACTAAAAAATAGTATATTGTAAAAATAATATTTTTAGTGTATTGAAATATTTTTAGTGTATTGAAGCCCATAATTTTTATTTAGCTGTGGTGTATGTCTGGACAGTTGAATTTGATTATATACAAGGGTTGGATTTGGGGATAGTACACCGTTTAATTTGTGCTCGAATTTTGTCCAATTTTATTTTTGGTCTATTATTGTTGGACTTTAAGGTAGGTTTGGGGATTTGTTTTCGTATATTAGAGTCATGCCCATGCGTTGCAACGAAATAACAAAGTGCTTCAAATAAAGTTTGTATGTGTATGTATTATATTACAAAAAACCAATTTTTGAGTGTGATGTGTAGTTTCGACCATATGCAAGTGCCTGCCACCTGGTCATCATGACCAAGATGAACTCGTAGTTGATCAAGCCATTGTCGTGAACGTTATCCTCATGAAACGATGGCGCGCGCAGCAGCTGGCTAGCAGTTGAGCATAGTGTTGATGGCGTGCGTTACAACATGAACAAAAAATAGTTCCATAACAATTCAAATTTAAATCGTATGTTGTACTATTAAAACATAATACTTTGAACCTGACGTCCACAATATAATGTTTGTAGTAATCGTCACGATTATACGAGTCTTCATGAAATGGACAAAAAGCTAGATAGTGCCTTTTTATGTATGAATGGAAGCACCAGTGTGTAAACTAAATTAGGACTTCATTTAGTTTTCTCTAGCAACTAAACTCTTCTTAATCATCAATCTAACTATACATAAATATTTTTTATGATAATCAAGTATAGCGAAAGGTTCCTTGGTTCTTGAAAAGACATAATCATGAGATCATTGAATTTTTAGCATGTATGATACATCAAAAGCAATTTTGGATGTAACGTGCTGTTTGTTCTTGTGACGTGCTGAAAATTTTCAGATGAAAAGTGCTGAGTTGCTTTGCATGTGGGCTGGACCAAGAGTGGGATCGGAGCGCCGCGTGCAGCCATCCCGGGAGAGATTGCTTTGCATGTGGACGCAGAGTCTAAAAAAAAAACGGTTCGCATGTGGTGCCGGGTCTACTCCCAACAAAAATTGATTTCTAGTTTTTTTAGAACCTATAATTTTTTTAAGAGGGTACAATAAGCCACACATAACCCACACACTCCACACTCACACTACACACGAACGCACCTCATGCGCATCCATAACATGCAAAGAAAGAGATTGGAAGGTTGTAGCCTCTTGTGCAAAAACTCACACTACCACCGACGCACGCATGCGTGCATGTACCCTACTTTTTCTAGAAAAATCCAAAAAAAGTTGTGATGCTAAAGTTTGAACCCTGATGGGTCCACTTGACTGATGCCCTACCGTCGAGCCAGATGGCCTTTCGTTCGGTTTCTAGTTGCCGGGAGGAGCAACGTACGGAGACGATATGATACCCTTTCGTATTTCGGTAATGTTATAGAACATACATCCAGAACTAAATAAATCGGATGCTCTGCTCCGCGCTCACTCCAGCATAGTGACCGGCCCATCTATGCTCTCTTCTATATCTATTTCATTTGTACTGCGATAGCCGACATAAATCCCCAACTCCTCGCTTTCGCTCGTCGTGGCTCACGCGTAGTCCGCTCGCCACAAGCCGCCTTGAGGCGGCGCCCAATCCGCGTCGATTTGCCACGTCTACCGCCGCACCGTGCTCCATCCCTACCACGCCCTCTCTGGCCTCGTTGCGTCGTGCCCCCTACCCTTGCGCGTCATGCCCCGTCCATCACCGGGCCGAGCTAGTGCCGACGCCACCGTTCCCCACCAGGTGGTTGTGGCCATATCGACGCCGGCGGTGTCGTGAAACTCAACCTCAGCTCGTGACATCACGAGATCCTGAGTGGTCAACGCCGGAGCGGGCTTCTCAGCTGCACTTCACGCTCCCTTCCTTCCTCGGATGTTGCAAGCGTGTGTTACAAGCATATGTTTCAAGTGTTTCAGGTGTTTTATATCATGTTACAAGTGTTTCATGTAGATGTTGTAAAAGTAGATCGAGATGTTGCATATGTTGCAATGGCTATACACGTATGTTGCAAGCGTCTGTTCCAAATGTTTTAGCTGTTTTAGACGGATGTTGTTCGTGTGTTTATCTAGGTGTTGCATATGTTTCACACTTATGTTGCAAGTATTTCATTTGGATGTTGCATATTTTCACACATATGTTGCAAGTGTTTATCTAGATGTTGCATATGTTTTGCAATGGCTACACAGATGTTTCCCTCGTGTTTCAGACGTATGTTGCAAGTGTTTCAACTGTTTTGGATATATGTTGCAAATGTTTCCTCTAGATGTTATAAAAATAAATCTAGTGTTGCACATTTTAGAGTGGACCCTATCTCTACAGCAGTCGCCTGCTGTACATCTGCTGGCCTAGGCGTGGGACACGACGTGGCGCGGGACCCCATATGAAACAGGCGTGTGGCGCGGGCGTCCGGACGCTAGCCCCCGTCCAAACGTTCAAGCACTAGCCTTTTCCTTCGTATTTTAGATTAAACTAGCAAGCAATCCTTGTATATCAGACTTGTATTAAAAATAAGAAAATAATTTATTTGTCTAAATATAATTGTACAGTCTGTTCACTAAATGTATAATTATTATCATTGAAGATTTTCATGTAAAATTACCTAACATAATAACACCATGTAGTGTTTGCTTTGAATTTTACATGAAGTAAAACGAGGTTATTGTAAAATTAACATTGGACTTATCCTCATGTCCCAACATAGCTGCCATATCGCCTCAGACGTATTGCTCCCTCCAATCTGCCATGGTTGCAATATGCTCTTGCGCAAGTTTTATCTCCGCCCCACACCTCTAAAAATACGAAAATAAAAAAAATCCTCATCCCAAAAATAGCATTTAAAAAAAATAAAACTTAGGCCTCGTTCATCCCAATCTCGGTAGCCATGGCTAGCTGTACCGTTTATTTTTATTTGGTAATAAGTCTAATTATTTAATTATGCTCAAAACACCGTAAAAAATACAATTAGTTTTTATTAGATACACAAACGATGAACATATATAGATAGACAGTTTTATTCTTCTAATCCCACCGCCGGCAGGAATTATAGACTTTTTTTTTATTACAGCTTGAGAGCTTGACCCTCCCTATAATTGTGATCGTGTCCATGCATGCAGACATGCAGTGAACTGATCATCAACCAGACTGGACGGCCCTGATCTGCGGCTTCTTGACACGTGCACCTGGTCCAGCTCGGCGCCGCGCGGCAGGTGGAACCGTACCGTCTCTCAGTCTCTGGAACTTGCGCTGCTACGCTCGACGAGGCGCCATGCCTCGTCCTTGTGCCTCATCCTTGCCGGCCTCCTCTTGGCGCGGTGGTCGCTGATGACGAGAATGTTGTCCTCTACCTTGACCTCTTGGCAGCCTCTTTCTTGACGTCGGGGAGGTCGGCCCTAAACACGTGGTACCTCAATGGTCTCCTTCCAGTCGATGCTCAGGTTGGTGAGGACGGGGCATTGCTCGGTGGGCGTCCATAAGTCGGAGAGTGGGTCGAACATGTTGCTGTTGCGCACCGGCGACATTGCTTGCTTCTTGAGATCGGACTCGACGCTGCTTTCTAGGAGATTAGCTAGCCGCTTCGATTGCTGCTCGTATCCAACTTTGAAGAGAGATCGCTCCATTGCCGTTTTGTTTTATATGTCGTTGTAGTGAGAGCTACGCGGATCATGGACACTCGAACAAAGAATCTTTCTTGGAGACATTTCCAACGCACAAGAGGACATGGCAACCAATGAATTGATGTGTCGCCGGGGGAGTGTATGCCCCATGGTTTTCATGAATTGGTGTGTCATCTACTCATCTACGCGATGCGGACCGAAGAATCACCGGCAGGACGCCAAGACGCAACACGCAATTGCATCTCTTCTCTATCTCTCTTTAGGGCAGGTATATTGCTACATATCAGCGGTCTCATAGAATTTTAGATGATGTTTGATCCGATGACTAAAATTTAGGAGATATCACGTGAGGGTGTCGTATGGGTTGTTTGGATACTAATAAAAAAACAAATTACAGAATCCGTCAGTACTCCACGAGAAGAATTTATTAAATCTAATTAAGCCATCATTAGCATATGTTTACTGTAGCACTACATTGTCAAATCATAAACTAATTAGGTTTAAAAAATTCGTCTAGTAAATTAGTCACAAACTGTGCAATTAGTTTCGTAATTAATCTATATTTAATATACATCATATATGTGTTTAAATATTTAATAGGATAACTACTAAAGTTTACACCCTCAGATGATGTGGAAGAGAGAGAAAAAGCTGAAACAACGAGCTCATGTCCGTCATCTTCGCTGGATGAGACGACATCCGATCCAATGTACGCCGAAGTCGTTGTTTCGCTGGATACGCCGCGGCGCTGCGCCAAATTCTTCCTCGCTCCTATTTCTGGCGCCAAAAATTCTTCGTCCATGGCGCCAATGCACTTCCTTTTCTTCGTATCTAATTCATCTGCAGACTGCAACTTCCTCTTCCTAATTTCTCTGCTCCCAAAACTCAGCCATCCCTCTCCGACGGCGCTGCCCACGGCGACCGCACGCAGCAGTAGAGCATATGGCGCCCATGCGCGCTGCCAAAAATGGTGGCCGTCCCCGGCGCCCGAACCTGCCGCGCCTCGCCCCGTTGGCCCAGGCTACGAGCATGCCCCTTGAACTTCCATCGCCGTCACCGGCAGCGGCAGCGGCACCGGCGACAGCCACGACCCCAGCAGCGCAAGCCACTCCTGGTTCATTTGACACTTACTCGACATGGCTACCGATGCTGGCCAACTGTTCTGCCCCCATGGTCCAAAACTCAGATCTTAGTGCCTCAAGCTGTTCGATGCAAGAGGAAAGGTACGTATGGCATCTGTACTGATTCGAATCTGTACTGATTGGCATCGGAGGGAGTAATTTGGATGCATTTTGAGCGATTAGCCTTTGGCATCTGTACTAATTGGAATCGGATGGAGTAATTTGGATGCATTTTGAGAGAAAGAATGAACATATTGCTTAATTCTTTTTTATGAGTGTTTAGACTGCTTATTTAGGACCATTATTATAGTTGTTTGCTTTTTCCAGTTTGCTTACTAATTTATACGGATATCATATTGCAAGATTTTAATGTCAACTGATACTGACATCTAATACATATGGTAGTCCTGTGTCTTTCCTTGCGAAACTGAAAATCAGTTTCCAGATATTTGCTATGCTATGACTACTTGCACTTTAAGATTTTTTGGGTAGCATAAATGCATAACATATTCATTATTTTTCTCCAGTGATATGAGTTCGTACCCACCTGGTGGTTTTCTAAATTTCATGCAACGTTCTTCGAACTACTCACTTCAAGAGAATCGTCACCAGGCACCCATGTCGGGTAATTTTGTTGACACGAGTAGCCGTGCTCAATATGCTCCATTTGAGGCACAACAACCACAGATGGCTAAAGCAAAGTCATCTCATTCATTGCCTGAAGAAAACACACCACATTCAGCACTTGGTTCCCAGGCTGCCGCTGCTCATGTAGTGGACATTGATAACATTGATGGTAATGGAGGCAGTCCAAGCACGTTCACAAAAAAGACACCAGAGGAAGTAGGCCTGCAAAGAGGATGATATGGACACCTAATGAAACCATGAGACTGGTAAAATCCCTGTATACTCTCTACATACGTACCCATCTTTTGTATAATGTTTGTGCATCTTATAACCATCTATGTTGACATGTAGGTTAGTGCTTGGTTGAAAAACTCAAACGATACGGTTAAAGGAAACTGGAAGAGAAATGATCAATATTGGGTATCAGTTAACTGCCATGTTCAACAGCACGACTCCAGATGATAGAACCAGAGAAATTAAGCAACTGAAGGAATAATGGCATCGTGTGAACAAAAGTGTGAATTACTTTCAAGGCTGTTGGATAAAAGCAGAGCGATTTCGTGGCAGTGGGGAGTCTGATGAGCAGGTAATGGACAATGCCAAGGCTTTCTATGAGGAAGAGTCTGATGATGGTGAGTTTAAACTTGAAGCTTGTTGGAAGGTTCTTCGAGATCAACCAAAGTGGCATGCATACAATGAGGACCTTAATGGATCTCACAAAAGAAAGTATTCCGAGACAAAAGAAAGTATTCCGGTTGCATGGAGAGGACAATCACAAAAGAAAGTATTCCGAGACAAAAGAAAGTATTCCGGTTGCATGGAGAGGACAATACACTAGCGGTCACAAGCATGCTCCTACTATGATTCTTGAGGCTGTTGCTACACATGATCTTCGGATATGGCATAGTTACTTTGGTGTTGCTGGTGCTAACAATGACATCAATGTACTGAATCACTCGCCTTTGTTCATACAAGTATTGAAAGGTGAAGCACCTCAAGTGCATTTTTCCGTCAATGGAAAACAATATAATAATGGTTACTATCTCGCCGACGGAATATATCCATAGTGGGCTGCCTTTGTGAAGTCGATAGTAGCCCCCCAAAGTGATAAGGACACAGTTTATGCACAAGCGCAAGAAAGTGCAAGGAAATATATTGAGCGTGCATTTGGGGTGTTGCAATCTTGATTTAACATTGTTGATCGTCCAACACGTAAGTGGAAAAAGGGTAGATGTTGGTCAAATCATGCAAGCTTGTATTATTCTTCACAATATGATTATTGAAGACCAAAGACAGCCAGGTGCAATGTCTTTTGATTTAAACTCAACTCCAGGATTATCATATATGCTCTACCACCAGCAGTCCGTATAGGGAACAACATGTGCTTTTCTATAGTACTACAAAGAAATGCTGCATTCCGTGATCGAGAAACACATACCCAACTTAGTAATGATTTAGTTGAACATATATGGCATCGTCGTCTTCATAATAGACACAATAGCTAAACTCTGATTTAAATGATTTTTTTAAATGTGTACCAAGTGCTTTGCAATAAATATCGTCCCATTTGATTATCTCTTGCATAATTTGCAAGGTTATATCAGATTTGTAATTAATAGCATATTTTATAATCCTATATGGTAATGTCTACACGACTCAATGACATAAATAAGCTACATCGTTATGATTGTATATGATCCTATCATTCATTTGGTCTATGCATAATTTTAGGAATTATATGTTACTACCATACAACTTAAAAGATGACTCATTGTATATGTTGTTTGTTAGGTCGTTTCAAGATTACGTGACAATTTATGAGACCGTCTATTATTAGACACCACCAATGTACCTGCCCTTATCTTCTACCTATTATATTATTTTATTATTACATCAAAAAAAATACCAACGGTTATCATGTGCGCCCCTAGCTCCAACGCGCGTAAAACTCGTACGCCGTGATTTTCTAACCGCGCGCCTGTAGTCAACGCGTCATCCTTCTTCCATCAAATCAGATCAAGAGCAACCATTCATAAATGGTTTTGCTATAAAGTATGTTGTCGTTTATAGTTGGTGGTGGGAAGGAGCAAAAATAGTGGCTTCCTGCTTTGGCCCCTAAAAAACATGCACTGTTTTTGCATTCACGGGAATCTAATGTGAAGTGAAGCCCTCGCCAAACGGGTCAAAACATCACTGTTTTTGCATTCACGGGAATCTAATGCAAAAACATCTGTTAGCTTTTCAATATTTTCTAAAAATGATCAAATCATCAGAGTCACACACGCATTAAAAAAAGTGAAACCAAATTTATTATGTTTCTATAAACTAGATCTACATGAGAGGTAATAAATATCATGAAACGGTATTTATATTTATGTAGAATTAGATTTACAGATTTCTTAATGTGTACGTCTAAATCGCAAGTCATGTGCATCGTCGTAGGTGTGGAAAAAAAAATTATAGCTCCAGTACAACACAAGTTCATATGTCTATGTGTCCATAATTATATATTTAGAATTAGAGATATATATATATAAATAGAAATATTATTATGCATACATATTGCTGAAGCTGTCCATCTTCTAGCAAGTCGAGCTGACCCAGCCACTTGCTCCTCACCTCGTCTCTCTTCCACTCATCTCCTCTCCTCTCCTCTCCTTATCGCTTGCTCCACTCCTCTCCTCTCTTCTTGCAATACTACAACAGATACAAACCCAATCTTCTCTCTCCTCTACTGTAGATAGCTACGACCTACGACCCTTCGTTTCCCTCCATTTGACCCCACCTTGCTAGGACACCAGCCATGGCTGCCGTGACCTGGTATAAAACTTTGGGACGATGTCTCTTTCGCCACTTCACCATACGCCACATGTCCTCCATCTTTCAAAACAGAGGGTACTAACAAATGAATATAATGTTTCTCTTATTGCATCATACATTATTAGAAATAAAATTAAATGTTCCATAAATGAATCTAATGTTTTCTAATTCGTCACTACGACACCATTAAATATACCATAGTTCATTAAGGACCTTGAGATTTAGGAATTGGTGTAGCCTTGTACCATGAAACATCAGACACTACATATGCAAAGATTTTGATGTGTGAAAGTACAACTAGGGCACGTACCTTGTATGAGAGGTCTCACCTTCGCCTTCTTTTGACTTGAGTAGGGGAAATCGATGTTTGAGAGGGGGAGGTGGCGAGGAGGGAGGAAACAGAGGTGCAACCCAAGGAGGAAGATGAGCAGGAAGAGAGAAGGGGAGCTAGTGTGTGCCTCTGTATACCACCCTACCGCGCTAGGTGGGGCGGCACATCAAGGGGTGCCACGACAATAGGTCAGCAGACGGTAGATCGCCATGGTGATAGGCCTGTCGTGCTAGCACGACAGTGTGTATTTGCCGCAGCAGTGAATCTGGCCCGAAACATGTTAGATTTAAAAATAAAAATAGCTAGGATTAGGTTTAAATTTCTTTTTAAAAATTGAAAATAAAAAAATTCCACACCGATAAGCATCGGTCTAGTGATCTAGTGGTTGTAAATGGAACGCAAATTGAAGCGGTCCAGACGCCCTGTGTTCCTATCAATTCCGTTGGGGGATTTGTTTTCGTATGCATATCGTCGTCGCTGCCTGTCTTTTAGCGAGCCGATCCCGACCCGACGTGGCACTGGCTTATTGGCTTGGAGCACTGGTCCTGTACTCCTGTGAGGGAGAGAGACAGTCAGTGAGCGGGCAGCAGCCACTTGCTCCCCGCCTCGTCTCTCTTCCACTCATCTCCTCTCCTCATCGCTGGCTCCCCTCCTCTCCTCGCCTCTCATCTTCCAATACTGTTACCGTTACAAATCCAATCCTCTCCTCTACTTTAGCTTTAGCTAGCTAGCTACGGCCCTTTGGTCCCCTTCTTCATTCGACCCCACGCACCTCGCCAGCAAGACGCCGCCAGCCATGGCTGCCGTGACCGCGGCGGCCGTCTCTCTGTCCTCCTCGTCGTCCCCAGCTGCTGCTGCCAAGGCCAAGGCGGCGTCCCCGTCGTCGCCATGCAGCCACCTCCAGTTCCTGTCCTTGTACCCGCGGCGGCGGCGGCACGGCGCCCGCGCGGTGCGAGTGCAGGTGTCCAGCACCGAGACCGCGGAGTCGGAGGCGGTGAAGAAGGAGAAGGTGTCCAAGAAGCAGGACGAGGGCGTGGTCACCAACAAGTACAGGCCCAAGGAGCCGTACATCGGGAGGTGCCTGTCCAACACTAGGATTACCGGCGACGACGCGCCCGGGGAGACGTGGCACATGGTCTTCAGCACCGAAGGTACGTAGTATATGTAGTTTACTAGTCTCTACACTCTACTCTCTACCCTCGGCTCTCTCTCTCTCTCTCTCTCTCTCTCTCTAATTAGTAAGCTACTAGGATAAGATAAGATATGGTCATGCATGCAGCTGGCATCACCGTGCTAAGCATACAAGCAAGATAGAGATTAAAATTTTAAAATTGGTGTATGCATATTTACATGTGTTATGATATATATACATATATATAAACATGGGGTGTGCATGCAGGCGAGGTCCCCTACAGAGAGGGGCAGTCCATCGGCATCATCGCGGACGGCGAGGACAAGAACGGCAAGCCGCACAAGCTCAGGCTCTACTCCATCGCCAGCAGCGCCCTCGGAGATTTCGGCGACTCCAAGACGGTGAGCCATCTTCGAGTTGCTTGCGTGCAGCTGCATATATGCATCGCCAACAATTAATTATATATATTACCATTAATTACAAGAACATCATATGGCAACTTTTTCCTGTGGTGTGTTTCTTTGGTCGCTTTCAGTGGCCTCCCTGGTTTTGCAGTTCTTTCTGGTAGTTGTCTGGTTAGGCATAGTGGCAGGTTTTCGCAACCAGAACTGGCGGGGACTACTAGTCCTGTAATTTTCGAACTTTTTGTTTTTTCTTTGTGTAATATATACACCAGATTTGCCGCTCTTTCTTAAAATATATACACGACGTCATCTATCCAAATTAATTAAAACAATAATTAAAAAAACTTTTGTTATTGTATATGTGTATAGGTGTCGCTGTGCGTGAAGAGGCTAGTCTACACCAACGATCAAGGGGAGATCGTCAAAGGAGTCTGCTCAAACTTCCTCTGTCAGTTTTGTTTCCTCTCTCTCTTCTGTTCAAATTCGATTCAATTGTTCCATGCAGACTAAGCATAGAACCTGTCAAATTAGGGATTAGAGTCGTTTTTCA